ATTATATATATCCACAACAACGAACAGAATATTAACTATGAATGCCCCTTGCCAGCTTTTTATCAATAATCCGTAAACATTACTCAAATGTATCATTCAGCTTTATAGATGTGCTACTCAATTATAAAACCACTAATAGGGGAGCAGTAAGAAAAATGAGGGTTTTCTAGGACTGTTACTATCGAAAACGTTCTGTTAAGAGTAAATCAAGCAACATTGGTTTGATTGGTTTGATCAACTTTTGAGGTTGATTTCAGTTTCTTCAATGACATCGGTTTCGTTGGGACACTCGAATGAACATTTATGGGAGGAGGATTAGTGTCTACAATACCTAAAACATGCAAAATTATATATATATATGTATATATATAAGGTAGTAATATCATATCCTAGTATAAAACCGATATTGTTGAAGACATTCTTCGTCGCTCTCATAGTATCAAATCCGTAAAGAAGGGTGTATTGTAGGCTCATTCCTCTAGAACGGTTAGAAACGTTTTTAATATTCCTAAGTTGAGTGACTGAGGCTACTACTCTTTGCACAATTTAAACACAAGTTGATCGGTAGTCAAATGACGGAATTAGTCGTATGTAGGATCAGGGAAACATGAACTGAGCCTGAAAGCATTATATGGATTGTGTTGATCTCATTATCAGTGCGAGTCCATCAGTCCCAACTGAAGATAGAACCCTGGACAATGAAACGCAAGCATACAACCCACTTGACGGCAGCTGATCCGGCATTCTCATCTTTTGTATACACGATGCAGTAAATCGGTATATATATATATATATCGTTATTTCGCCGTGTGGAAATTTTACCGGAACATACTAATGTGGACTTAGCTTACTTTTATTCCTATCCAATAACCTCATTTTAACTGCAGATTGGTCGATAACTTTAAGCAAAGACATCATCCCCGGCAAACATTGACTGATATGCTTCGTTTACCGTGAGATGGTAACCAAAAGAAGAAAAAATGAATCGTGAACTGAAAAGCTTGAAAGTACCGTGCACAGCGAGTGCGTGCATGTTGGGCGCCTTAAACAGTGCATCTCCGTCCACTAGTACGAGGATGATGACGACGGAACCGAGAAACACGAAAGGTAAACAACATACTGCGCACTTGACCACTAGGCAACTGATTAGATCCTACAGAACTGTCCAGCTTTCGATGTGCATTCTGTCAGGTGTCGTACGATTGGCGATCGGTAATATCCACCAATCTTAAACCCCATTCAGCAGCTGGATAAACATAAAATGATCGATCGGTTTGGTGTTGAATAATATGTCAGATCTGTATGGTTTATTTTCATCCAGAATCCTAAATCCGAGATTCGGTAATCACTTTCTCTCTCTCTCGCGCGCGGGGTCTCTTTGTGACGAAGATACGGCCCTGAAATTACACACACACACACACACACACACACACACACACACACACACACTTTTAATCACCCTTTATTATCATCCTTCTTATCGATCGTCTATATACCGCTTGTGGAAACACGGTGAACATGAAAGTTTACCATTTTAGTCAGCCCGCCCAGTGATGCAAGCTAACGAAAATGACGCTGCGTAAAGTGGCTTTAGCACAAAAGAATCATGCACCTAAAATGTTTGACAAATGTGATTGCCTTCACACCCAGTTCTTTTTTAACCTGGGAGCGAGGCAGCTTTGATTTAACCGTAGAGATACAACTTGGAAATCCAGATAGGGATACGTATTGTGTGTTGGAATACCTGAACTTTTGAATGACCAATCCGTCAGCAAATTAGTGTTCACCAAAAAATTGATATCCCTCTCTTTGTTGTCTGTCGCGCTCACCCATCCTCCCCTTATTCCCTCTCTCCCACCAAACATGGTCCATTTAAATCGATTATCCGATTCTGTATATCACCAACATCACGTCGAGACGTACGACCCGTCCACATCCGTCCATCACCTCTCAGGCATGCGGGTAGGTTCGTACCTGTCCNACCTGTCCGTCTTCCTTTATCATTTCCACCCTCTCTCTCTTTCGGAGCTCCCCTTTACTATGGTTGTCTGTCAATCCGCTCATGGAACTGATGCAGAGACGATTTGTTTTACGTCCCCGGATCGCCCTTATAGGGGCTTGACCGTAAGTGTCTCCCTCAGCGAACACACACAGACACACTGGAAAGGACTCAGTATCATAGGTGTTTTCATCTGGCAGTTGTCTATTGGTTAAGGCCTCACAGTATTCAGTCAACATCCTGGCCGGCAACGTGATTGAATGACAGCTTGATTGACAGCAATTCAATATTGACGGGTATCGTTGTATCATTCCTGGGAGAGGGGTAGAAAACGGGGGAAGGGGACATGAGCTGCTCCTTAGTTGTGAAAGATGACTGATTCTGTTTTCCAGGCAGAGCGTATGGTAGTGAATGGGATTGGTCATGCACATAAACTTGAGGACGAACATCCCGTAATGGGCTAGTCGACCTATTTTACACGTTGATGGGACTGGGCGATGAACAACGCGTTGGTTCCAGGTAGACAACCTAACATTCAGTCAGCCAGACAAACAGTTAACCAGCCAAACAACCCATCAGCTGAACAAAAGCAAGCGAGCAAGCAGGCAGACACTGGAGTGGACACATACAAATTAGATGGAATTGGTTAATAACGAATGATTGACATTATGTTGACACGGGGAGATGAGTAGTAGTTTGTGGACTGACATTACTTCAAAATTAGACTGCATTTGCCGATACACATTTCGATGTGTGTACGCGCCAGATTGTCGCTCGATGACAGCCGATGTGAGCGTCTCCAAGTGGCCCAAGACTGTCCTGTCGTTGTCCATATCATTGGTGTAGACAGGGAACTAGATAATACGCACGTGCCAAGATTAGCCCTATTCATTGCTATCACCCATTTGACTCATTAGTCTACTCTCATCCCATCGCATCTGCATCTTCTAATATCCGGGCGCGTACATATGCACGTACGTAGAAGTCAATCTGTCAATCATTCAGCCGTCGCCCACCCGGAATTTAAGACACACTCGTGCTCATCTCCCCCCTCCCCACAAACTTACACACCCATCTGCATATTCTGACTGTCGACCTATCTGTTTAATGCCTTTCTCGGTCACTTGGTCTCACAATTGACCTGAACAGACTCACCATCCCAAATGGGCGTACTCATCCCTAGGTTGGATGATGTTTGCTTTTGCAGATGTCATTTTGACCGTCCAAATCACACTGGATGATCTTGTCCCAACCCGAACAATAACACGTCTAAGTAACCATCATTCTTAAACCAACCAACCACCCCGTCTGTGTGCATGTGATTTGGTCGATAATTGTGCAACTACTCGTAGCTGTTCGTTCTCTTCATGTGATCGAATGGGGATTTTTCGTTCGTCCGAAAGTGACAGTAGGTGAGGCGATAAACTTGGAAAAATCTTAGTCACAGACCGAGTGAATATGTACGCACTAGTGTGTGTGTGTGTGTGTGTGTGTGTGTGTGACTTCTTGCTGTCCACACAGAACTCACTATTATGATGGGACACAAAATAAAACATTATCACAAGTCATTATGATACCTACGAATGACTCAGTGTCTGTATATATGCGTGCGCGTGTTGAAGTGACCGGGAGATGCTATCCACGGGTGGTCCTTAGTTGATTCAATTCCATTTGTTGGCTAGTTTCCGTGATCATGTACGTGTTATGTCCCTACTAAATTACTATTGTC